AGGGTCATTAATTTTGTTTCTAAGAGTAACAATTTTATCGTTAAAAAAGCACAAAATCATTACTACTGAGTGCTATGGGAATAGAAGGCTCAATCGAGCTGTGGCTCTCTGTCAGCCTGGCTACAGTGCTGAAAAGAAATCTTGCATTATTCTTATTCTCATCTATTAATGAAGAGTAGTAGGCTGCTCTCGCTTTACGCAGTGCTTTCTTATATTCATTGAGAGTAATATGCCAAATTAAACGAGATTCTTCAAGTTTAGTAGAACGCCATATCCTTTCAAGTTGTCTCGACTTTTGCTTTATTTTGCGGGTTTCGGCATTATGCCATGGAGCTAGTCTATGTTGTTTTATTTTCTTCTTTTTCAAAGGAGCAACAGAGTCTAATTTTATTCGCAGCGCATCTGTAGCACTATCAACAACATGATCAATTTGGGGTGGTGTACATTTTGTATAAGTTTCCTCCCTTACATGCAGACATGCTATCGAGTTAAGTATTGGTGGAATCTCTTCCTTAAATTTGGCTATAGCACTAACAGATAGGTTTCTGCTGCAGGAGCTTTTGACTAATGCTTTGTAGTCTAGTAACAGTACTTCAAAAGTTACTAAGAAATGGTCGGATAAAGCAGGATTATGCGGTTCGACTAATAGTTGCTCAATTTCAATACCATAAGTCAGAACAAGGTCGAGAGTGTGATTATAGCAGTGGGTTGGTTTATTTACACTCTGACAAAAACCAACAGAATCTAATATAGAGTTAAATGCAACAGTAAGGCTATTTTTATCATCGTCAACATGAATATTAAAGTGACCTACGATAATTACTTTATCTGTTTTAAGAACCAAAGTTGATAAAAACTCAGAGAATTCAGATAAGAATTCTGAATAAGGACCTGGTGCACGGTACACTGTAACAAATAAGATTGGCTGCAAAGTGTTCCAGGTCGGATGCGTAAGACTAAAAACGAGGCTTTCAAAGGAGGTATCATTTAATTTTGGTTTAGTATTGATAAGTAAACTTGAGTCAAGACTTAACAACACGTAAGAATAGATCATATTTGTTAAGTGTTATTATGGTAGAATTACTATTCTTGTGGTATTACTGCCTTATTAGGCCCATATTGAGCAGCGCATATTTAGACCAAAACTCATGTACAACAAGTTCCTTGCAATAAATAAGCACTAATTAGAGTGTTATTGAGGAAAAACTCTCAACTAATGGCTTATTACTTGTAAAATATGGTCATGTAGAATAAGGCATTAATAAGTGTTTTATGACTAATAAAGAGGCAATATACTGCTAATATGCATGTTAATTAACTAGTTGATGGTGAATTTGTGTACCTCAATATAAAATGTTACCAAAGTCACTTATTAGACGCTTTACCCAAAGCAACTTACATACACACACAAACCTGTGGACTATCTCCACAGGGAGACAATGACATGCTGACTGCAGTGGCGATTTAACCAGTACTCCCCTGATCTGAAGATCAGCGCACATACACTGAGCCACAGCCTCCTGAGATCACCAATAGTCCAGTCTGTGCCGGAGTGCACTCTGACACTCACGGAGACAGTATACGTAGAGCGTAACTCTTCAGTAAAAAACGGACAAAAAAACCTTGCTCGACATGATGGCATAACCCTCACGGTTGCAGTTTACCCTCCCACACCAACAAAATATTTGTATTGCAGATCTACAAAAGGTGAAAGAATGGAACTTTTTTAATGCAACCGTTTTGAAATTATCTGTTGTCTCAGACATCATACACAGAAAATGCACTTTATATGTGAGATGTCTTCTCTGGGCTCCCAAACCCAACCACGTACTAGTGTTCCCTTGAGACACGAAAGTCTCAGCTGGATTTACACACAATCTGGAGACACTTGGACACAGGATAATGGGTCTGAGCAGAGCAGGTTGCCATGTCCTGAACACACACACGGTCCCATATATGTGTAAAGCCACCCACCCACACCCACAAATGCACATTTGTGCGAACACATTTATCATCTAGTTTCACTTTCTGTTGGTTCTCATGATCAATCATAGTCCCCATGTTTGCTCTGCTACCAGCCATCTTTCAATGTCACCTTCAAAGGACCGATTTGTCCTCATTGCGGAGTGAAGGTGAGTGTATGCGTGGTCAGAGTTCTTCTGTGTGTTTGAGAAGAGAGGGCTTCCTTTTTAGTACATTTTTATATGATCATTGGTGTTTATTATGTTGCTTTATTCTTGTATAGCAACGATTTGATGCTTACTGTGAGGAACATATCACAAACTCAAAGGTATACGGTTTAGATCGTAGCATTACAGTCCTCTCAACGGAGGGAAACCAGTCCTATCAGCTGACAGTGCTCCGACATTTACATTTTTTTTTCCCTCCAGGATTACCTGTCTCCACATCTCACCAGCCTGCAAAGTCAGCTCAGTACCTCATGACCTCTGTGGCCTTATCTATCTCTGTCTGCAGCTCAAACTCCAACCACCAACCACCATGCACCAACTCTGCCTGTTTCACAATAAAATACTTGTGTTGTTTCCTTACCTGCCTATCTAGTTGCATTAAAAAAGGTTATTGGTTGCATTAGGGGACTGCTCAATAAAAAATGTTGTCACTATAGGGGGGCATTTATACAAATACTACATTTCTGTGTGGCTTTAAGATGCACTATAATGTCTTTGCTATATTTGAGAGTTTCCATAAATATCGAAGCATCAATACTCATCCTCAGTGAATATTTTAAACAGTTGCGCTGCATTTTCTTCTCTCTCTTATCTCCGACAGTGAGTTTACACAGACACAGATATTATTTGAAACCTTTAATTGTACGCCTTCAATGTTGGTATCACTGTGTGGTATGGAAAATGGTGAAAAATAGTCATATACTAAAGGCATTGTTTCTGCAAAGGACCCCTTTAATGTGTGCTGTCCCCGTTAAATACAAGAATAAACAGGTGAAGTAAGTTGATACAGTTGAGGACACAAGGAGTAACAGCAGAACAAAACCGTTATGATAGTGAATCAATTCCATGTACGATTGTCTACAAAGCAAGATTCCAGAAAATACCCTAAGCAGACTCTGAACCTAAATCAGCATTTGGCTGAAGGGCTTTTGCTGACACAAGGAGGAGGCAGGCACTGTGACAGTCCCCCCCCTTCCTCTCTTCCTCCCTCCATCTCAAACTGTCATCTGGCCTGCACATGAACCCTACTCACCTCCTCACCCCAAAAGTAGCAGTATGCCTGTTGTGTGTATGTGTGACTTGCGTATCACATAAAAAACACATATTGTATAATTGTCATGAAATCAAGATACAAGCTCCACCAGCACACTGACCAGAGGGGTTGCTGCTGTGTCCATGATTACAGAATGACGTGGCTCCAATCTGATTCAGATCAAATGTAATCAGTTCTTCCTTGGCTTATCCTCTACTGTTCCATCATGTTTCATGAAAATCTGGCCACTAGTCTGTCATTTAAATTATATTGGGGCTTTGAAACTATTGAAGCCTAAATATTTTCATTGG